AAGAGACATGGTTGTCTGACCACTGTCTTCTTAAAATATCTATATATATATATATATATATATATATATATATATATATATATATATATATATATGTGCAAGCATGTCCTATTTGTCCACAGTCAGTGGGTCTGTCTGTGTACCTGCAGAGTGTCATCAATCAGAGTCAGGATGTACTGGACCGTCTGCTCCTTGGAGATGTGTGCCATCAGGTTCAGAAAGGTCTTAGCACACTGAGCAAGAAAAACAAAATAGAAACATACAAAGTCAGAAATACACACCACCCATCTATGAATACAAATTGAAATGCCTTTGCTTCTTTGTTCTGCCTCTTAAAACAGTCCAGAGACTAACTGAGCTCAACAAAACATTCTTATGATACAGCATAGGACTTCTTTCAGATCGACAGTACGTCAGTAAAACCATTCATAAGGCTGCAATAGGGTGAGCATGTGAGTACTGAAAACAGAATATGAACCAGGAAGTCCGGTTTAAACGTGTTTGAAAAGCTAAAACAGGTAGTGCAGAGCATTTTAAAGTACAATTGTACAACACTAAAACATTGAAAGGAGAGCAACATGTTTCCTCTTGACTGAGTGCTTATATGGTAAAGCACTCAGTCAATAGATAATATGTTGCTCTCCTGTACCCAATACCCAAAAGGACCACTTCTTCCTTAGTGCGAGTAATTGTACGTATTGGCACCAGCTCTGTGAGTCTAATAGAGATAATGAAGGAAGATTTGCTGCAAAACCATTATTTATGTTCATCCTGCAATTGTCTGTCTGCTTAGTTTAAAAGGTTGTACACTAAAGGTAAGAACAGAAAGAAATCTAAACCAAACTGCTGTATAGATGAGAATGTTATCCAAGCACACAGATAATGCAAAGTACTCAATACCTGATGTCCTTCATTGGTCAGAATGACCTGTTTCTCCTCAGAGTTGGCCACCTCAAATTTCTTGATGAATTCACAGTCCTCCGCTGAGATCATCTGACTCCTAGGAGAGAATTCATCAGGATACTGCCATTTTAGCACTATATGCAATTCATAATGTACATTTCTGATTTGAAAAAGAAGCCAGGCTCACAGCGGGTTGGCTAATTTAGTGTGTAAGGTCCTCTAACACCTAAGTAAGACATACAACATACATGTATGCTGACCCTTGGATTGTTTTGTCCCTAGCATGCAGCTTCTAATTGCTAGAGCAGCTAGCACAAAAATGGCAACCAACCACAAATACCACATGTTCTAGCTAAGGCTAAACCCACAACATGGATTGTACATGGAGGTAGATAGTCGTAGTTATAGTAAAAAGATAATTATATTATATCCAGACTAAATCAAAGAAGGAATAAAGTCATCAGATTACTTTTTAAGAAGTTATAATGTGAGTCACAAGTTGGAACTGCCTTATTAAAATGCACCCTCTCAAAGAGGAAGTATCATTCAAGACAGTGAATCACAATACAGGAACCACAGCTGAATTTAGATTGACAAAATACTCTATCTACATTATTTAGACTAATGTATTCATAAAGATGGATGTACTGTAGGGAGAGCTTCATTTGTCTAAAAATGGTTTGACATAAAGTGACTTAAAGAAATAAAGCTAAATATGCACATTATTCAGAAAACATATGTAGCTGATGTCTTAACGAGTGGCAAGTAAAGCGCTGAAACCCTCTGAAGCATCAGTTAATGTATGTAAACATTAAACTAATTCAACAACTGCATTAGTCAGCTCAGTTAAAGTAAAATGGATGGCAGAGCTGTTATGGTTGAACTGCATTAGTAGCTACTCAAATATCCAGTAAGTGTATATTAGTATGATGTACTGTGTGTACTGTGTGTACTGTGTGTACTGTGTGTACTGTGTGTACTGTGTGTACTGTGTGTACTGTGTGTACTGTGTGTACTGTGTGTACTGTGTGTACTGTGTGTACTTACTGCAGGTAGGACTGCCAGTTGACCTGATTGGCCCGCACCTCTGCCGCCTTCGCAGCGATGATGTTGGTGGGCACTGCAGCATCCACTGCCCCGCGGATATCCATCCTGTTAGTTATCTACTACACTATATAGAGAAAGAAATCCAGCTCCAGCTGGGTGGAAACACAATAATTAACATTGAATTAGCAGTGACTCAAAATCATAGTCGATGTGTTTGCCTGGTTATGTTTATCACACTTAAGCCGGATATACATCACCTGATGATGACAGTGACTTAAAGATGGTTTATCAGTTAGCTAGTTTGGTTAGGTGTTACAGAGCTTTACCAGGGAAATGCTATTACGCAGTTGTCTTAGAGCTATACATCATTTGCCAAAAATGCCGTGAATGTTTCGAGGTGTGTCACATACATTAACCCAACATCTTTCATCTTCATAGTTTGACTAATTCTGACCAAGCTAACCGCTAGCAGGTTATACCACATTACTAGCTTAACCCAATGTCACGACATGTCATGTTGTGTGTTTCCAAAATAAACTACGCAGTACATATTCTGTATCATTAAAATATGTCACGGTCGTATAACAAATATCACGCATATATATATACAATTGTGTAATTATACTGTAAACGGCAACACGGGTGACAGCGTTAGCTAGCAAAATAAGCTGAGGATGCTAACCAAAGCTAGCTTAGCTAACGTAGCTTCGCATCCATTCTGTCACTATATGAAACAGACAACAGCGCACAGGTAAAACATGTATAACACAACATCCAACAAATCACAATACGAATAGTCCTACATATTTCTGGTATTGAATAAGTGTTTTTTACTCACCTAGTTGCTGTCCTGTGCGAACAGCTGACTGACTACAACACCGCGTCACTTCTATCATGTGACAGTCACATGCACCGCAGAGCACGTGACCCAGCAGCATGAGAGAAGAAGGAGAAGTTTTCTACTTTAACATCAGAAATAACATCAAACTGAATGCAGGTGGTAACTTTAATATTAACTATCATCTCTATAATTGTCTCTATAATAAACATTTAGACGGCAGAACTGTTTCTTACGGAGCCCCCCTGGTGACATTGGTGAGAAAAATATTAATACGTGGCCACGTATTAATAATGCGTGGCCACGAGTTAATAATGCATGGCCACGAATTAGTTATTATGTTCCCACGCATTAGTAATTCGTGGGAACACAATAATTATTACGCAATAACTAAATCCAGATAGTCTATAGAAACTGATGACTGAGTGACAACCATAGACTATAAAGGTGACAACACTAGCTAAACTCTGTACCGTAGGCTACGGCTATTATCGCGAAGCATGGATCATTTTGATTTCATTTGGGTATGAATTATAATGATATTCTGCAATCCCTTGCAGTTAAGCACAGTGTCATCCTTAGCAAAAGGCACTTGATTCGGCTGCTGAAAATGCACGGTTTGAAACGTAGTTGAGTACAGTTAGAACGATATTGGCAGATTCGGATTTCACGGATCAATAACTCATGAACAAAACGTTATTCAGACACAAATTACGTCTCCTGAGTACTGTGGTAAGGTTGACAACGAACTACAATCACATGTTGATCAAAAAAAGCCAATATGCGCCGTCCTTGCTCCGAGCTGGACACATTACAGGGACCGTCTGCAAAGTGCAACTCCGAAAAAAGAGAATATAATAATATTCAATCACTTCACTATTCTACAGTATATTACTACCAAACTCATTATACACATCAATAGTCTTCTGTTGCTCATACTACATCAGAGAGTTTGGAAGAATATGGTTTGGAATAATTTGGGTGAATATGTATACTGTATAATAGTTGTTATGATGCCATGCATATTTATTGAAGATTTTTCACCAGGGGGGCTCCGTAGTTTCTGACAAACAGTGGAGGAATATAACTAAGTAGGCTCAAGCACTGTATAGATGTATCCTATGTAGTTTACTTGGGTATTTACCAGGTATTTACATTAAATGCTACTTTATACCTCAATTTTAGTAGGCTACATATCAGTGGTAAAACACGTTTTTTTAATTCTCAACATTTATGACACTTTCAGTAAGCTACAATGCTATTTAGTTTATTACATTTTAAATCAACTAATTAATGATTTTTACCTAGCAATAACATTAAAGTAATGAACACATGAATACATCACTAATTATTATCCCAGTAAACATATATATTTGTTTTGTTTTGTTATATGTTCTAGACATCATTTTAATGCTACAGCTGGTAAAGGTGGGTCCATTGCTGGTTATAATTCATAATAATTCATAAACTCTACACCACGATTGTCTTAAAAGAATAATTCACTAGCTTTTCCCAAAAACAGACATAGAAAAACAAGTGAAGGCTGCTGCTGTGATATATGAAATCGATACAACCAGAGGGACTTTCATCCCCCTGCTGCCAAATCCCTGACAAGGCTGCAACAGCCCCTGACATCAAAACAAATCTTGGAAAGAGAAGGAGACGCATCCAACATCCTGATGGGTCTGGAAAATAAGTTATTGACCACCACATGTCATTTAATAACTTATTTTCCAATTGAACTGCATTTTGTATTTGATTAGCTAGATTATAGCTAATCAAATACAAACAGCTGTGTAATCAGTTCAGGAAGGACTTTAACTTTGAGGCTGTGTGAGGATGACAGATAGCTGAAATCAATTCATTGTTCACAATCAACAGCTTTGATCAGTGTTCATCCTTGTGAGTCTTTAATGAGCGACAAGACCAAGCGCAACACGCCATAAGCTCCTCAGTAAAACACACGTGCACCACAGAGTGTATATCTGTAATATATAAACTGTGCCGCATGTACACTAAGGTCATATGTTTAATCTACAATGTGTCCATTCTCTTACATGGGAGTTCATTAAGGAACATGTAGAATCACAAATGAATCCACGTCTGTCACTTTTATTCCTCTACGTCCCTCTCACTCAGACACTAAGACCTCCTGTCTTAATCTGACCTAAGCTTGTGAGACGCAGCAAAGCACAGAGGAATCAGGATCCTGTGAGGACATTTTCCTAATCCCCTTCTGCCCCTCCTTTGTAAACACTCTTCACTTTGTCCGGGTCGCTCATGCTCATGCTTTTTCCTGCATCTCTCTCTCTCTTTCTCTCTGTTACAATGTGCTTCAGATGGGAGGAAAACATAGAGAACAAGAGTTAGGACTGTGGATTTCTTATGATCTTAAAGAGACTTGTGCCTCACGTGGCGAGTGAGGCCTCATGGTCGGAGCATGCCATGTGCTAGGGCGCTGAGGCAGTGGGAGATCAGACCTACGTCTGCTCTGCGGGGGATCAGGCGCTCCAGGGCCCTCATGTGGCTCCGGATACAGGGACTGGTCCGGGCCCTCCGGCAGGGTGGGAGATACCCAGTGAACTACAATGACCCGGCAGCAGAGGAACAGGAGATGATTTGCCTTGAGGTATGGCCCTTACCCTGATGAGTATTTCCCTTTTTGATGAAAGCCTCATTATCATATACGCACCACTGATTGCTCATTTGGAGCTAATTTTCATGGAGCAAATGTATGCAGCTATCCAATCAAATTGAGCTTCTTTCCGCTCCTTTAGAACATATTATAGAAACAATTCGAATAAGGGATGTTGAGTTACTTATCAGTTCTTGTACTCATAAGAAGCCACAAGTAACTAAATAAGTCTTCCACATCTTTCCTACTGTAGTTGTTGTTGTTGTTGTAACGATTAGTCAAAGCATCAAGAGCCCAAACTTCTATTTAGAGAAGCACTTCCTGTCTGAAAGAGGTTAAGAAGATTATAGGAAGATGGTGTTTCCTTAAATAGTATGTTACTTGTCATTGGAAATCTAAATAAAGTTGCAAAGTCAGTCACACACACACACACACACACACACACACACAGAGAGACAGACGGAGAGGTAGACGGATGTACAGACACAGACAAACAGTATAAACATCACAATGTAAGGGAGTTGTGAATAGATTAAGTTGTTTTTAGCAAACGTGTTAAAAACCTGATATTGCTTGGCAACCAAATCATGGTTTGTAAATGGATAAATTAAGAGTTCTAAATGCTCTCTGTAGTAAGTAACTAAAGGTTATTTATGCACATTTTGAATCGACAAATACCACAGAGGAGAAGGGAGTGCAAGAGAGTGCTCACATACCTTATTGATAGCCAGTATCAATCAATCAATCAATGTTTATTTATATAGCCCAATATCACAAATGTTACACTTGTCTCAGTGGACTTCACAGTTTGTACAGAATATCAGTATGACTATACGACACCCTCTGTCCTTAGACCCTCACATCGTACAAGGAAACACTTCCGGAGAAAACCCACAGTAGAGAATATATTGTAGCAAAAGAGATCCAATTGTAATTTCATGACCTTTATAATGTGATCCATTTGTTATTATACTTTACAAAGAACATAAATGATAACTGACATGTCCCGATGAAGACCATTTCTCTTAATTTGAGAGTTTTTGTCAGAAGAGCAAACTGAGGTTTCCCTCCGCTTTGTGACTATGATGGTCTCATAAACTGATGCGCTTTTGAAGCAGAGAGCGGCATTGTCTGTGTGTAGAGGTCATTTTTTAGTTTGAAAGAGTTATGATATGACTAAGTATTATTACTTTTGGCACATTATCAATCCAGCCTGATAGCAATACTTATGAAACTGAAATCAGAGATCAGAGATGGCATTTTGGACATTACCTTTGCCACCATTAGAAATCATTTAGGTTAATTATTTGATTTATATAAATGTTCCTGCAAACTGAATTTCCTTTTGTGGGACCAGAAATAACTACATTTAGTATGAAATAGCATTACACCACAAAAGACTTCCTGCAACATTTGGGATGATGACTTTAAAGAAAAAGGTCAGACTGAATCACAACAACATAATGGGTGTACAAAGCTACAATCACGTTTTTTCCCCTGTAAGGCTAACACATGTCTTTAAATAAGCCCAACAGAATTGTGTTTACCTGGACCTGAGGGTGGTCATTTGGACAATCAGCTAGCATGGAGACATATCGCTTAGAGTGAGGTTGATTATTTAATGTCAAAGTGAAAAACAAAAGAACAGATGACAGCGTAACTTGGTGACAAGGATACACACGCTGATTGCATTTAATTAAATTGATCCTGACATTTAATGTACCAAAGCAACTTGATGAAAGACAAATACCTTATAAGAAGAATAATGTTAGCAGGGAATACAAATTAAATGGAGACAAATGAAGTTTCCTATGTTCAGTAGCCAGCTTGTGATTGAAGGACTCATCTTCACATGCAATATGCTCGCAGATGCCATGCATGATCGCTTGAAGTGTCAAGTTGATAACCACACTTCCTATAGTGCCTATCTGCATGTGTAGCTCCAGTTATTGAATCTACTGTTACATCGTTTTTCCTATAGGCTTTACACACACCCTGAAAAGACTTCATTCATCCTGTCCCCCTCCAGCTTCCTATGTACAGTATGACCTTGTGTGTTCAGATTTTGTCCTTGGGCCTTCAGAGGGAAAAGTCTGTGCGTTGTGCAGAATCTCACCCGCGTGTAGTGTAATTCGTTGCTTGCGTGTGTATGTATCAATCTATCATGGCTATTTGTGGGTCTGCGTTGCATAACATGAACGCAGAGGAAGGTGTTAAATGAAGTGTTGTGGAGAAAGTCACATGATCGTTTCTCTAGAGGGGAATAAAGATGTGTGGATGCTCAGGGCATGCCCCAGTTCAGCACAGTAATGACTCTGGATAGGAAGGAAATCTCTTCCATTTTATTTTTTTGGACACGATAACCGAGCAGATGAATCCCTAATCGTCAATTAGTTCAATTGGCAGTATCATAGAACTGTACCAGGTCTGTATGGATGCTGTGAGTTCTCCACCCAGTTTTGTATTACAGGGGGCTCACATTTTTGCAGCACTTCTTATTACAATTTGGGAGGGATGACATTAATTTTCATGCAATCAAAGAGTATCTTAACTAACAATGTGGCCCAGCCATCACAAAAGTGTTGGTGTAAATTAAGAAGATAATTAGATAAAATAAAATATGATATGCTTCACATTTGCAGAATAGGCAGAGTGCCATCTGGTGTTTGTACAAAGTAAATCAGGATGTGCACCAAAATGCAAAGCATAGAATAGATTGTATGTGTAAAATTGTACATCCATTAGCTTGGTTTGGCACCAAATATATAATAAATATCGACAGTAAAATGTACAAGCATGTAAAATGTTAGGGAACATATGAAAGAGAACAAATGTTGCAAACATCTCCGTGCCTTTCATTTTTTTTTCACATGACCATCAAGGCTGTATGAGTCAGCCTGTGCTTTACTATCATGTGCAGAGAGAATATTGTGTGTGTGCTGCAGCTTCAGCCGCCTTCAGATGGCAGTGTTGTCTTCTACATCATTACTGGTTGTAGGCCTGCACTGTGTTAAACAAGGCACAGAGCAGCCAGGCAATCATCTGTAAAAGAGTTAATTACAGAATGATCCAATGCGACAGACTGTGTATAACCTGCATGGAAATGGGAATGTATGCTTTATTGTATACAGATAGACATAGTTGCAACAATGCAACCAATGTAATGTGTACTAACTTGGAGCTAAATTGCAACTGCCATTCCTGACGTTAGATGTTGCAGATTTAGGATAAAACCATATATGTATGAAAAGACAGTGTGAATGTGTAAATGCATGTGTCTATGTGTGTGTATGTTGCATGACTGCATGCATTGACATAAGGTTGTGTGTGAGCATGTATGGTTGTGACAAGATAAGGAAACGGCATTGCATTTTCTTGATTTAATTTCTAACTCATGTGCAATGCAAAAACCTTTTCCCCTTATCAGATCAATAAAGTACATTTGAACTAAACCAAATGTAATCTAAAAGATTAAAAGCCATTGTTCTAAATAAATGCATGAATATATTTGATACTCTTTGTGGATGGATCAGTCAATAATGTGAAAGCACTTAACTGACAGTACAAATGTAAGACTAAACTTCACAAATGATGTAACATTTGCTGCCAAAGTCATGCTATCCTTCAGAGAGGTTCAGTTAAAAATAAACTGCTGGCTGTTCAGCACCATAGACAGCGACTTCATGCATGGGCTGGTGCATGTATTTCTGTTTGGTTTTGTTAATATCTTTAATGCAATATGGGCTCCAATCAAGTTAAGTGGTCCTTTTCTACCTGCGTCAGTTTCTAAGATTTGTTTTACCGCCTTTTCTTCACTACAAACTGACATAATGCAGGCTATGTTGCTTGAATAATCTGGTTTTAGATCCTTTCGCATACAAGGCAGGTTAAAAGATCTGCACTGTAAAACCCTATGCCATACTGTCGGGGTTTACGCTCTTCACTGGGCTACTACGAGCTGGAGAGAAGACGCATGCGTACTGACTTGAAGCAGCCGGTCGGGAAAAAAAGCCTTATGTGCCATCGGATGTAATCAAGGCAAAGAATTACCTCTTCTCGCTGTGCATACATGGTGAAAGTGTAAGTACTGGTAGCAAACTAGTTTATCATTGCACGGACATTTCGTAAGCGGAGCATTTGAGTCCGTTTCCCGGTAATTTTAAATGGCATGTCACTATCTTGCTGTACAGTGGGCTTTTAACAGATCTAGGCAGTGTCTTTTCGGTGGTTGTCCAGGGCGAAGAAGCTCTACGGTTCTTCATGGTGGCACTTTCCATTGATGTGTTGTGCAAGCGGCTAAAGCAATGGTTTCAGCAGATAAAATCGTTCAGGAGCCATTACGTCCCAGTGTCGTTCAAATGTCTGCTACGGTAAGATTGAAGAGGAATAGCGCTGTATTTGCTGTTATCATGATTTATTATTTTTGAATGGATACGACCACCCCCACCCCCCATTTCATCGTCTATAGTCAAGCCATAGCGTACTGCAATTGTGTCAGCTTTGAAGTACCCAACGCGTAAAATATGCCATTTGGCAGGACGCACGGAATCTGCAGCTGAAGCCTGCTCTGAATCTGAGTGAAACGGCGCGGATCCATTTTAGAAATGACCAAATGGTATTGTATTCACCGAAAGTCTGTGATAGAGCGATGCTCCGGTTATAGATTTGCAAGCTGCGCCTTCGGGCCCCCCTCCCATGTACAAAATCTCCTGACATTTTTTTTTTTAAAGCATCGTTTCTTGAGTCAGGTAGTAGTCGGATGATGCCGTGTGTTGGGAGCGACAGCATTGTTACATAAATGATCTGACAGGATTTGGCAGCGTGTGACCTGGTGATGACACATTTGTTAAAATCAGACAAGAAGTCATTCTGTGAGCCATGTCTATAGGCCTACAATCCTTAATGGGGTTTCTGTTGATATAGAGTCACAATTATAACACAGTGGTTTCCCAAGGACATGATAGCCTAAATGTGCATGGCAAATTGACACTTGACAAGTAAGAAATCCTGAGAAAATTGACAGATATTTACATTATTTTCATGTGTATTTAATTTGTTTCTCCACTTGGGGCCCGGTGAGCTTTGCAAATCCTTTAATGCAATGCTGCAAAGCTTATACAAATGGGATGATTCAAATGTTGGATTATGATCATTGAGCCAATGGTCAACAAGCTTTCCATTTTACACATGCATTTGGAGTGTTTTGGGTAACATACAGCCAGTTTGAGATTAGTGGGACTAAAATGTGCTTGGCCAGTGCAAATTTGGCAGCACGAAACCAAAATCGGCAAATTATTCTTCCATACTTCCCCCCTGATTCGAGCATTCCTTAACAGTGTGGCCTGCGGGCATGTCAGCACAAGCTCCTGCTAGAGCATCAGCAGCACTTCACTTCCTGCACGCATAACAAATACATAGGTGTCAACTGCTGAGTGGTACATTAAATAAATCTAATTAACCTGCTGAAAGTGATCAAAATGCTGATAAAATGGATGTCACAGTGTCCCACTCTACTGTCCTTGCATATTGCACTGGCACTAATTTGTATCATAGAACTCCATTGTGGGTCAAATTTGTTAGAACAAAATTCCAGTTTTATGCTATTCCTGACATGTTTAACACTAAACACAGCGCCTCTCCCCTGTGTCTGTAGCCCATGGGATCAGAGCGGATGGAGATGCGAAAGAGGCAGATGTCGGTGCAGCAGGAGTCGGCAGCGGGAGAAACTGCACCATCCCAGCAGGACCAGCAGGACCAGCAGGACCAGCCGGGCCAGCCGGGCCAGGCTAACCCACGGGGATCAAATGCATGTTGCTTCTGTTGGTGCTGCTGCTGTAGCTGCTCCTGGTAGGTCTTCCAGGAGAACTCGCTGGTCGTGGCGCAGCATGGCCGACATTACTGCACACAGGAAATCACAGCCTGAGAACTGTGTCTCAGCAGCAGGCTCCGGCTTGTGTCTATATGTTCTCGATATTTTTGCATGTCATCTGTGGACTCTTGTCCTGCAGCAACCTTTTTGCACGGCATTCAGTTAGTTATCTGCAGAAAATGTGAGCCCTTGAAATATCTATGTATTCATAATCTATCTGCTATAAGTATATAACACAAATATTCTTTATCATATCTGACCAACAATGTAAAACCAAGAGATAAACAGTTACTTATGTAATCCAGCAAAACAGGATATTTCAGAAAAACAGCAAAATGTTTCACATGTTTTTCTTGAAAAATAACTGCATTAATAAAACAAAAGAATATTTTCAAAGAAAGGCTGCTGGGATAAATATAAATTACTCTATTTACAGTGGTAGTTTTATTTGCATGTATATAACGTTTATATTACACATACAGTAAGATAATTCGTTGGTAAGTAACACGATAAATTAATATGAAATGAAGGATGAAAAATTATTATGTCACTTTTAGGAATGAAGACCGGGATGAAAGGAACCGAAAGGCTTCTTATGACGTCAAGGAGGGGACCTCAGACTGTGAAGACTGGTCCGTTGATTTCACTGCACAAAAAATGCCAAAGTTAGTAAATGTTGAAATCACTCACTCATTCACAAGTTGTCCATGCTCCCTGCAGCCCGATGCCCACGCTGGAGGAGGTGCACTCGTGGGGGCAGTCCTTCGATAAGCTAATGTGTTGCCCAGCGGGGAGGAACTCCTTCCGACAGTTTCTTCGCACCGAATTCAGCGAGGAGAACATGCTTTTCTGGTTAGCCTGCGAGGAGTTCAGCAAAGATGCCAATAAGACCCCAGTAGAGGAGAGAGCTCGGGCCATCTATGAGGACTACATCTCCATCCTTTCGCCTAAAGAGGTATGACAGCTCTTAATATCACTGTTATGATAAAAATGTGTTGAATTCAAACAAGAATCTTTATAATAAATAGAAAGATATAATATACTCCATTCTCTGGGGGAAATTCAGGTGTCCACCAACTCACATAATCTGTTTCAGCAAATACATTTAGATTAGTGACAACACACAATATACAAAGGTAGGCCTGATGGTAATAATTATAATAATAACATGTAAAGATAACATTTAAAAAAACTTTAAAGCAAACACAATCATAAAAATAGATAAAATGTTAATTTAACAATGTTTTAATATGTTGAAGATTGACTATCTTGTCTTTATGGTTAAAGGTGGGGTATGTAATTTATTTCAGAAATTTGTTATATTCCATTGAATGCTCCATCCTGATAGCAATGAATATATTAAAGGTGGGGTAGGTACGTTTGAGAAACCGGCTCGAGATACACTTTTTGTTATATTCCATGGAATGCTCTTAACATCCCGATAGCAATGAATATCTCAAGTGCTTTGACAAAAAATCCATTAAAAAATGTCATCTGTGGAAGCCGTAGTACTGTAAAAAGCACGACCAATCATTTTAGCCGGCCCGGCTAAAATAACTGGATGGCCTACCTGCCTGTCAGCCTTCCATCTGTGCACAAACTTATCTCGTGCTCTCATTGGTTCGTGTGTGTTGGAGGAGGGGCTCTGTAAGGAAGTGGCAGATTTTTTCCGGCTGTGTATTTTCAAATTCTAGCGCACTCGAGCTGGTTTCTCCAAGATTACATACCCCACCTTTAAGTGCTTTGACAATAAATACATAAAAATGTAATCTGTGGAAGCCGTAGCGCTGTAAAAAAGCACGACCGATCATTTTAGCCGGCCGGCTAAAATAACTGGATGGCCTACCTGCCTGTCAGCCTTCCATCTGTGCACAAATGTATCTCGTGCCCTCATTGGTCATGTGCGCGTTTGTGTGTGTTGGAGGAGGGGCTCTGTAAGGAAGTAGCAGATTTCTTCCGGCTGTGTATTTTCAAATTCTAGCGCACTCGAGCTGGTTTCTCCAAAATGACCTACCCCACCTTTAATATGAAGCTACAGCTGGTTATCTTAGCTCAGCATAACACATTTAAACATAGGGAAACAGCTAGCCTGGCTCTCTCCAAAGCTAACAAAATCCAGCAACCCGCACTTCTTAAACTGTACAAAAACCTATGCTATGCTATGCTAAGTAAACCTTGGATCAGTTTCCAGGTAGCCATTTTAGACAACTGGGAGTAACATTTTCCAGTTTAGAAATAATTGAAGCACATAAAGCAGCACATTGTCATTTTTACACTTTGTTGAAATGGAATCAAACAGATGAGATATAACATGCAGAGGGGCTGGTAGGTGGATTTTGTTATCTGTAGACGGAGTCAGGCTAGCTGTTTACTTCATTTTCCATCTTTGTGTTATCTAAGCTGGAAGACAGAGTGATATCAATATACTTAAAGTCTCAGTAAGAGAACAAATAAGATATCTATTAGAATGCCATTTTTCTCCAGACTGTCACTGAGAATGTGCACATGCAGTTCTCTCTAATTGAAACCTCTGTTCTTGACTCCCAGGTGAGCCTTGACTCCCGTGTGCGTGAAACGATCAACAGGAACATACAGGAACCCAACTTGCAAACCTTTGAAGACGCCCAGGTGCAGATCTACACACTAATGCAAAGAGACTCGTATCCTCGCTACATGAACTCCTCAGCCTACAAAAACCTGCTCAACACTCTGTCAGAGCAGTCCCCCGAATCTTAGGGTGGTGATGACCTGTGATATTTTAACTCTCTTTACCCCCCCCCCCCCCCTATCCCCCTTTTTTTCAAATGTTTCTTTGTATGTTCAGTGTAGGATTACATGAACCGGGCCTCGGGCCTGGCCCCTCCCAGGGAACTCAGCGCTATTGTGATCTGCACCTGACCGACGACACTCAGGTCTCAAAATCTCCCGAGGGCTCGACATCACAAGTACTGCTACAGATCAACATAGCAAAACACTCCAAAGGAATATGAATACATTTTGTTTCCGTTTTATTTTTCTTTATTTTGATAGAAATAATCTATTTTATTTGTGTTCAGAGTTTTTTATGGTCTGTTGTTTTTTTGTATGATTGTTTTGGGGGGGGAAATGATTCCTACTGTAGACTATATATTTATGAGTTTGTAAATAGTACAAATTGAATTGTGGGTACTTTATGTAGAGACGCCTGGTTCTATTTACTGCGTATGAAAATCAAAGCTCAAGTCAAAGGCTACGTGATAGCTCTACTTGCAGGCAGCTTTGTGGGGTATTAATGATTTTACCTTGGTTTTACCCTGTTTTGTTACATAAACTCACACTTTGGTACCTGTGACAGCGACTTGGCAACTCCAGTTAGTGTAGAAAGTGTGTGTGGTTGAAACTGCCGTAACAGAAAGGGACGATAGCTCAAAATCAATGATAGAAGAGTATTTATAAAGTATTATCTCAGTGCACCTCATATATTTAATTTAGTTTTACCAGTGTGAACCTAAGCAATTCTATTTACCAGATAAAGTATTTTTTATTTATTGATATTTATTGCCAATACAGAAAAATGACAAGTACAGATTATATTGAAGCTCTCTGGTGAAGTCAACGATAGTGTTGAGCCATTATGGTATCGGTCTGTAATTGCCTAATGATTTCTAGCACGTTTCAGTAATTTTCTTGAAAGAATTGCCCCAATTTGTACCAAATTGATTATTAATTTATGATATGGTTGGAAACTTTTAATTTGCTTGATACAGTTGGATTGAAAGATCTGTTCACTAAATGTAAAGCTACAATAAGAGACTGCTCAGAATAAAGACTCAATACAGGGGTAACAGCTAGCATTGCTCTGTCTAAAAGTAACTTTATAACATATCTTTTTTTTCTCTATATGTTTCCCCTTTCCAGTCTTATTTATTGCACAGACATGAGAGTGGTATTTACTTCTCAAAAAAAGCAAATAAGCACATTTCTTACAAATAACAGCTTTAAATTCTACATATCTGTACATTTGTATATTTTTTCTAGACAATTGATTGACATATTTAGCTGACAATTGTCTGAAGTCATCCATTGGAAGTCTAACACCTACTCTATGTTACCTATAAGAGTATACATAGTTCATTATAGGATTTTTTTTTTAAAAAGAGAGATTTCTCTATAAATTACAGACGGGTAAAATAATACGTAATGTGTGAGGCTGATCTTTTCTGACAGCAGGAAGAGATGTCTGCGTATCATCCTTCAACATATTTACTTAAAAAAGCTCACATGCAATATGAAAACGACTTCAGATTGAAATAGGCGCTGGGGTCAACACCAAAGCTACCACATAAACTGTGTTTTACCAGAGCGTTTCCATTGGCAAAAATTGGAGTTGCCAAGTATTAAATACTTTTATGAATTCTGTTTTTAGTTGGATTACTTTGTTGCCTCACAAACATGTCACTCAAAGACAAGATCCTCACATGGGGAAGTGCCTTGACATTCAATTTTATGACATCTTTCTCATGGGCAACAGATGTTTTCAGACTCTTACCAGAAGGGGGGTTACTGGAGCAGGAGGCCAGTTTACTGGATCGACCCTCTCTTTGGCTAAATTATTGCATGTGTTTTGTCTTGATTTCTTAGTCGTGACAACATCGGTCCATTTTAGTAACACTACCCAACACTTTGGTGGATGGTGATGATAACACATGTCTTTATTTGCTAAAGAGATCAATGGATAGGGCTGTTTGAGGGGAACTTCTTGCCAACCTGTGTGCTTTGAGGTGGCACTTCTACTTGTCTTAGAGTTAATTACACTTACTACGTGCAATTTGAGCTGATGGATACACCGTGCAGATCAACCTCAAAACACAATCTAAGCCAATGGTTTGGAGTGATGCCTATAAATGTTGTTTTTTTCTTTTGTTTACTATATGAAATGTGTTATTTTGCGCCGAGTTTACTGAAGAATGCATTTCTAAAAAACTAATAATGTGAATGTTTACAGTATATGGTTTAGTTTTTTTTTTCTGCTACTCTCCAAGAAAATAAAGACTTGTGGGCATTTTGATTAAGATAAAATAAAGCACAATAATTTTACTGACTCTCGTATGTTTGATCGTAAAGCTACACTACACAACCATAAAGTACTCAAACATTCCTAAAAAAACAAGAAATCTAAACACTACTCAAAATCTTACTTGCCATTAATGATAAACATTAAAGGAATGTAATGCAACAGCTGATTAATTAAGATATTGGTCTGAAGGTAAACATGAGCAAAATACTTCAATAGGAACGTGTAAGTTGAAATGTTTTCAGTACAGATGTTTTCCCCAAATATTGGGGGGCTTTCTCCATCAAACGAATGGATCAGGTGAATCTGAATAAAGAAAATCACAAATTTGATTCATGTTCATGAGCTGAGTTGGTTAACTCGATTAAATATCGACTAAATATGATTCAATTGAGTAAGAAGCTACGGGTCATATCACAAAAGCATAATAATACACAAGGATAACAGTAAACACATAGCTTGTTCCACACTTGAGCTTCATATTGAAACAGTAGCTTTTAAAATTACATTGTTGAGGCCCTACTCAAGATTAGACTTTAAGCTATTAATTCAGTTTGTACAAGTCTAATAATATGTAGCAGTAAATTATCTTTCAATTAATTTGCAATCAAGCTAAATGCAAGTAAAAATTGACAGAAATATTTTCACTAAGCTTGCGAGTTACATTACATGACAAATGTTAGATGCTTTTACCCAAAGCGACTTCGGACACTCAATACTGTGGGCAATCCCCTCAGGAGCCATTTGTGGTGAAGTGTCTTTCCCAGGGACACAGTGGGGATTGATCCAGCGTCCCCCCCCCCCCATCCGAAAATCAACGTACTAACATACTGAGCCACACCCTCATCATAGTGTGTGAACCTTAAGCATGGTTCAGTTTCATACAAAATACTTAGTTGTGCTCCTTGTAGTGAGAAACGGCCATTTTCTTATCCCACTATTTGTAGTCTTCGTGAATATGGGACTGCTGTTCTATGATTATAATAGAAAAGACCAACAAAAACCTAAATATAATAGGATGAGAAAAAATGTGGAAAGGGTTTGACAGATTCTGAACATTTCTTCAGAACAACAACACAATTAGGGCACAAACAGGTTGCTTTTTAAATTAGTAGCTATTCCAATACTCTATTATTGTATCCATGAAGACTTACTCAAAGATTAAACACACTTACTGGTGTGTGTTCAGGTTGTGTGAAGACTACACAACGGCTGGTCACCATAGAGTTTTTGCACCTGGCAGTTAAAAAACAAAAACCAAGAGGAAGGGGAAACAATTGTGTGTCTCCTGGTTCTGCCAATGACATTACCCGGTCCCTCAGCAGATTAATATTCATCACATCCACTTGATGTGATGAATATGAACCACACACACACACACACACACACACACACACACACACACACACACACACACACACACACACACACACACACACACACACACACACACACACACACACCACACACACACACACACACACACACACACACACACACACACACACACACACACACACACACACACACACACACACACACACACACACACACACACACACACACACACACACACACACACACACACACAACCAGAGGACACCAAAGTCTAATGAAAAGCACTTGTTTTTTAATCAAATGGATTACACTTTTATTGGGAAATTAAATAAAAACAATTCCATGTCGTGAGGGAAAAGCAAAAAACAACATTTCTCAAAGTGTTAAAACTACATATAAAAAAATGCAGATAAAAGAAATTGAGACAAGATCGATCGCATATATCTGACAGAGACAAAACAACTAATGACAATAGTAAAATATTTGGGGGGAGGGCTTTCGGGTGACTTCAACCTATGAACCGGATATTTATATTAAACGGTAACCTGTGGCATCTCTGTATGGCATGATGTGTGCTATGTACCACAAAATACAAAGCTCCAATGTGTTGCAGAGACACAATCTGGTCCGGGAATTTGCTACTTGTCGGGAGTGTCGCGCAGATTCAGCAGAACTGTAAAAAAACAAAGACATTATTAATACCAAGACAATGCAATATTTACATTTAAACACTGATTATAATAAGCCATGAAGGGGCTGGTAGGGGGGAATATAAATCAACAAAGACCATCATTTGTTTTTATTTTAATTTTAAAAACTATTCCTAGACTCGACTCTCAATCATCAAACTCATGAAATTGCAGTGATTAAATAAATGTTGATTTAATTTACAAATATTGGTTTTTACTATGGATATACCACTTTACAATGAGACTACCCTTATAAAGGATTCATAAAGGGGTTATAATTAGGTTATGAATTAGGTTGTAAACACTTTATTAATCATTAAGAACCTTTTATAAACCAGTTCTAACAGTTTTCATACGTCAACACAGGCTCACTATTTGGCAAGATGACTAAGCCTTATATTGGCTACTTAGCGAGAATCAACTCGGTGAGCAACAGATACCAAGGATGCTGGCTGATGAAGAAGACGAAGTAAGCTAGGTAGCCAATATAAGGCTTAGCAGTACAGATAAATGTGGGCTCACTATTTGGCAAGCAACCGGTCACAGTTGCCCTTTTTATCTCATGTCTTTTTATCTCAAGCTTATTAATGATTTATAAAGTGTTCACAACCTAATTAATAAATGAATTACAAACTATTGGTAAACCCTTTATAAGGGTCGTCTTATTGTAAAGTGGTACCATAACTAACTCAAATTTACAAATCGAGATGAATTCAAACTACAACACGAGATATATGTAGACGTTGTGCACGTTACAATTGTCTTAATCATCATTAAATCTATCAATTGGTTATTTTACTAAATTCAGAAATTCTTTAATCTATCAAATGTAAATTATAAAAGAAGAATAATTGTAATAAGGCAACAAAATAAACAGTTTTGATATTAGCTTGATATTTAGATTAACACATTTCTGTTTCTCGACTTGATTTATCATTTCAGCTTTATTTGATATGCAACAACATTGAGGCGTCACCAGGTGGCAGACTTCGGTGTAAACTAGCATTTAGTTCTGCAGAAGTGGGATTACATATGAAAAGGTGAGCAGTTGAAGTCTGCATGGAGAGTGGACCAAATGGTCTCGATCTTTTATGTAAGTAAAAATAAATAAATAAAGATTCTTGATGCCCTTAGTCAACAGAGCGTGAACCAACATACCTTCCATCGATTTCCGCAATCATTGCAGAAGACAAACGTGGTCATCGGTTCATCAGCACTGCGAGTTTGAACCTGGAAAAGACAGAAACATTCACAATCCATTTATAACTAAATCAAACTGCGGTTTAGACTGATTTCAAAATCATGAAAAGTACATTTTGCTCTTTACTAAGTTGAGTTACATGATGAACATGAAGTCAAACCAATATAATATTAATGTAACCAACCCATTTTAATTAAGTCAATTCATATACATCAACAGGTTATTTACAGCACTATTCAAGGTCTTTCAAGGCACCTACATCTAAAATGTCTACACTCATAATGCTGAAGCCTTTATCATTAAATGTAAAATGTTAATATAAATCCAATTGTAAAGTTTAATGTGTAAAGAATTCCTTTATAGCCGTTATTCATAACCAGCTGTTTATATTAACTTTGATTGTGTGTTTGGATCCTGGTTATTTAATACTTAGCTAGCTCCAGTCCGCTCCATGCATTCTGTTTTATAACAAATACGACCAACAAATATTAAAAGACTTTTGGTTCACATGACTGGTTGTGTATATTGAACACCGAATGATATTGAAAATTAAGAACTTTTCAAAATACAAGCTTTCCATACCTTGATAACATTACGGTCAAAATCTTGCATTTGCTATCTTTCAAGACTTTTAATAAACCCAGTACTTTTTTTGTTGTTGCAATGAAATGAATTATCACAACACCTTGCGTTTACTCTCCCAATGAGATGTAATCTCTTGTTGATCCAATTTTACCATCAACCATAACATCCTTCTTTTACAGCAGGGGTGTCCAAACTACGGCCCGGGTGCCAAATGCGGCCGGGGTGCCAAATGCGGCCCGCAGGCCATTTTGAATCGGCCCTCAGCTAATTCAAAAGGTATAATGCAATATGGCCCACAAATAAAACTTTTGCTTGTCTTATATTGTCTTTTACATTACATTACATTACATTACATTTAGCTGACGCTTTTATCCAAAGCGACTTACAATAAGTGCGATCGACCAACAAGATACAAACTTGATGAAAACAGAATCATATAAGTACATCAGGTTTCATAGAGCCAAACATTTCAAGTGCTACTCAACTAGCTTTAGATAAGCCAGTCCTTTATTAGTATATAAGTGCTTTGTTAGTAATTCTATCGCTCGAAGTGGAGTCGAAAGAGATGAGTTTTCAGTCTGCGCCGGAATCTGTGCAAGCTATCTGCCGTCCTGATTGCTGTCTTGTATTGTAAAGCATTGTATTGTACTTCTTAAATATATATGTAAACATATGTTACACAGTAGTATTCATGTGTTAATAAGCCCACTTCCAAATCAATCCCATCAATTAAAGTTGAAAACATTTTCTAAAAAAGCCTAATAACTTGTTTCCATAACCAGCTTCATATTTCCCCTTATTATAAGCAATCTGAGGCTTCTGTCTTAAGGAATGAGCTGCAAACAAAAACAATGAAACCCTCTGGAGAGCTGTGATGTTGGCTGTTTTTTCTTAAAGCATTTTCAAGTATTAAGCATAATTTGCCTACATTTGATTGATTTTGCGAAATACCTCTCCTCTAGTGAGTGGCCCAGCCCTTCATATATTTTTCTGTACGTGGCCCTCGGAGAAAAAAGTTTGGACACCCCTGTTTTACAGCAACAGTTCAAATGAAGCATGAATGGCGCTCCATACCTGCGTGTAGGTGCAGCACTTCCCCTTGCACTTTCCACAGGTGAATAGATCCGTCTGACAGCCTCCTGTGGTGGCCATCTGGTGGTCCCGGACAGCCTCTTTGGTCAAATTCTTTCTCATTTCCTTCAGCTCATCACTGGCCATATCCTACAGAAACAGAAGTCAGTCAATCTTTATGTTTCATGTAATCAAAACAATAGATACACAGCCCTGTGACCAAGTTAAATGATCAACACAGAGATTCAATGTAAGAAGAACAACAGTGTTGGATTATCTCTACTTCTGACTGTGTGCCAGTTCCAGGATCTTTAACACACCTCTGCGGTCATCTTAGCCATCCGCTCAGGGGACACATTCCCGCAGAGCACTGTCCTCCTTAAATTCGGGTTCTTTACATCCTTTAAGTTCGAGATTCGGCTCCGCACACGGTTCTTGTATCTCATGTCTGTGTTCTTAAACTCTTGAAAGATAAGTGGTAGCAAGTCAAGGAATACAATGTTGCAATGGGTTTAAAAAAAGATAATAATCTGGAAACCTTAATGACAAAACATGTTTAACACAAATTAATCACATTAACAACTCTGACCCAAACTTCCTGTAATGCCATGAACACAAATGTACCATGACCTGCATGGCAGCAAAGAGGCAAACAAAGTAAAGGCACTTTTTCTGCTGATTATAAAAGAGCAAGCTCCAAATAACTTTTATATCTACAGCTTCAAAAGCTTAAAGGTTCTCCTAAATACCAAATGCCTTGGCCAAGTCAGTACATACTGCTTCCAAACATCTTCTTCAAACACACTTTCCATTCAATGTTAAGGATATTTTCCTCGATCTGCGCGCCCAGTTCATCACAATCAGCACCAATAGCAATATGATCATCTGAAAAACACAAGGTAAATAGTAAAAGGCAGTGTACAAAATTATGAAAAATACAGTTCAAAAGGGTAATAGTAACCACAATAACATACAGTATATCCTATGTTTGAAATGTGTTTTCCATATCATATATACCAACATATATTACCTCCAGTCTGCAGTGCTTGGGTCATCAGCTCTCGGCACTTGAGCCTGATCGAGTCGGAGGTGCCTGAGGCGCGAGGAAAAGTCGGGATCAATGAGTTGGATGAAACGTCAGCGCGTTCACTCTTGCTGCTGGAGTTACTGCTGGAGCTGCCGTGGGAGCAAGGAGAGAAGAGAACTTGAATTCTGAGAAAAATATGAAAACGTTTAGCAAACGGCAACAAATCTCTGTGGACGCTTAGTCATAATATGTGTAAAGCAATAGAGAACCGCAGTGACGCGTCCTAAAACCTGGAAGTAAGTTAGCATTTTTACCACTTCCGGTTCCTTCGATAAAAAGCAATGCAATTTCTCCATAGGATTTTGGAAAATAGCTCCAGATAAGGTCTGTGTTTGACACAAATTGAAGAGACAGATCACGTTTTGTTCTACGACATTAAATACATCAGCAGTGACCCCGCTGGTGATTTTTGAGGAGTTTACGTGTCTGAAAAACGATGGTTGTTAACAAGTGGCTGAATAGGACTACAGAAGTTGTCCAGGCCGTTTTACGTCATTACACCGAACACGTAAAACACTCCCGCTAAGTTTGTTTGCCCTGTTCTGCTTGAAAGCAAGTCCCTGCCTCCTGCAAACTGTTCAAACAAAGGCTTCAACTTGTACCATTTAGAATCTGTATGTTTGAATATGGATCTTAAGTTGGCGTGACGTTGAAGCAGCGACCCTGCTGTAGTTCCTTTATAGCATAACGTTAGCATTTTGCGACTAGATTTATGCTTCGAAAATTATAAAAGTAGGGTAGACATGTGGATATTATCCGGCTGAACAAAACGTGATCCGTCTCTTAAATGTGTCTCAATCACAGACCTTATTTCCAGCTATTTTCCAAAATTCTATGGAGAAATTGTATTGCGTTTTTGACGAAGGAACCGGAAGAAGTTTACATCCGGGTTTTAGGACGCGTCACTGCTGTTCTCTATAGTATATTATTATCACTCTTGTTACCTTTCTTCTTTTGCGTCTGGACTTCCCTGCGAGGGAGAAGAAGGCGTTGTTTGCTCTTTCCTCTTTTCATCTGACGTTTTATCTCCACCAGTAGGCTCATCTGGAGTAAGAGAATAACAGAAGAGACAGCAACATTAGATATTTGTTACGTCAGTGCTTCCTAATGCCAGTCAGCTGAATAGCTCTGCATTTAGAAGAAATTGCCAAACCCACAAAGTTCCTTAAATTGTTGCCTATAATGTGTTTGGAGTGTTTATGCGTGGAACTTTATAAAAAAATATATATGGGTGGAGAAGAGTGACGGATTGTTTAGCATTATGGACAATATTATAATCAGATAGTGATTCCCCTCAGAGAAAAACTGTCGTGGAAGAACCTCTTGGGTTGAAATGAGAAACCTACCTAAAAGCTTCTTCCATGACTTGATCAGGGACTTGGCTAGAGATGTCACCTCGTCGTCTGTGCTCTGCTTGCGGATGGCGTTAACCGACATCCCGATTCTGGTAGACTGTGGAAAGACACTGTGTCAGAGCTCCAGGCTTTGAGAAGCGACAGTGAGCCGTGAGAATACATGAGCAAAGATACCTGAAGCAGCTCGAGAGTCATGGGGATACTTCGCAGCTCCTTCAATAAGTCCAAAGCCCCGGCCTGCAGAGGAGATTTAAGTTTGATATATTAACAACAGCAATTCAGACGTAAGAAAGATGTTGGCTAGTTTTCCTTTCTGTCTATTTTGTCTATGGGACATTGTACAAATATGAGACATTAGACATACAAAGCTGCGATGAGATATACAGACATTAATAGAATGTATGTTAACAGACTTGGTATATAGTGTAGTGGTTCTTTTAGTGGCAGTTTTGTAGGTATTTGTGTGACACTGTGGCCCGAGGGATGCCCCGGGGAGGAGGAATACATACATAGCAATAGCAATAATGTTAGTGTGTAAGTAAATCAATAATAATAATAAAGTAAAAACAAACAAGAAAACCAACAAATAAATAGTAAAGAGTTTGGTTTACTTCTGGGAGGAAGTGGTGTAAATCGGGTTCCTATCTTTTTGTAATTGGTGTAATTCTCTACTAATATTATTCAAATAGCTTTATTGGCATCACCTGAATGACATCGTGTTTAAAGAAAACGATAATAAAAAACAAGTTCAAAATCAACAATTATAAGTGAAACTGTACACTACTCAATTGACAGTAAAGGAAACAGCAACTGTCAGGATAATTGATTCTTCATTCTAGCAAAACAACGAACATTAGCTTGTAGTAGCTTCTCAAATGTGATACATTGGTACTTTGTCACTATAATATATTCAGCAGTGTTATCAGAAACGAATCTGATCGTTACCTCTAGCCCCAGTAGCGTTGGATTACATGTAGTACAATAACAGTAGCTAGGAGGCTAACAGTTAACCATAACAGTTAGTTAACGCACTAGCTAATGTTAGCCGCTTGCAAAACACTACTGAAATCTTAGTTTTTATTGAAGGAATGATTGCAGATGTTGATTTCTAACTAGCTACTTAATTTAGCTCTTCTTTAAATCACCACACTACATCCAACATGTTATTACGCTGCAAGGCATAACGTTAGCAAGGACTGCTAAGTGGCTAGCTGCTGGCAACACATAGAACTACATGTTGTTAGGGGTAACAGTCCCGTAAATAGGTTAGGGAAAATACTCAACATTTAGAATCGTGTTTACAATCACTCAACAGGTTCGAGGGTGAATTAGATGCACAGTAGGTAGCTAACCACATAACAACAATCCATTAGCGCCAATGTTAGCGGGTAGTAGGAACCCATTTTTCTCACCCCGTTTTTCTTCTGCGCCATTTTATCCATTTTTTTCGCAATTCTGATGATCTCCTCTTCCTCCTTTTTACCCATGTTGAGTGATCTGATTGTATCCAAAAGTCGGGAGAAATGGGGATTGAAAATTCCCGACAAAGAACACGCCGAGAGAAGTGAGAGCGGCGGCGGCGGCGTCTACTTCAGGGACCAGGACCGCAGCAGACCTGAGCAGTCGATGCATGATGGGTTCAGGGGCAGTTAATCGAGACGAAACCCAAGATTCCTCAGGACAGTGGGCACATGTGAGAGCCTAGATGGGTTTATTCCATTCTATGGTTTATTCAGAGGTGGGAGAAGTACTCAGATCTTGTATTTAAGAGAAAGTAGAAATAACAGACGGTACCAAGTAAAAGTCCTGCATTCAAAAGGTTAGTCAAGTATAAGTACGGTATTTGAGTAAATCAATGTACATTGTTATTCCCAACGCTGCTCTGGAGTGGTGGAAAGTAAACATATTCAGATTATTTACTTGAGTAAAAGTACTAAAACTACACTGTAAGAATACTCAATTCATAGAAAAAATTATGTATGGCATATGGCTGTCTAACATAAGTTAAATCCATTTCTCAATTATTCTGACAATGTACTTAACCCCAAATAAAAGAACCCCATAAAAAGAGTTGTTAAATAATAGTGAAGTCACGTTGTAATAACAATAACTCATCTCTCTCTCGTTTTATTTTTCAGCTTTGGCAAAAGCCACTGTGTCAAATGTCCTTCCTGGGTTGCCGTCCGGAGTTGTCCTGGCGGACCATCTCGCACATGCGCAGTACAGATCGGGCAGGGGGATGGATCGGGTAGTGACACTCGGGTTGCTTTCCGATAATCCAAAAATCAGCTCCTAAATTCTAACCCTATCTCCTATTCCTTGACCTCTGCGTGAAACGTCACGGGGTTAAGGGATAGTGGATAGGAGAATTCAAAAGGACTTAGGAGAATAGACTGCGGTACTTTAGAGAATCCGAATGCACTTTCACTATCCGACGTATTTATGATGCGCCAGCGGACGTCATGAATGTGCGTCTGCTGCTGTGGGGAAACTATGGAAACTACAGTTTTCTATACAGCGGACTACAACATGGATGTATAATAAGAAGGAGGGACTACTGTAAACTCATCTAGAGACTCTGCACCGTGCTCTGATGCTGTTGTTTTATGCTTTATGAACGTGGACAACAGAGAAACATATTCTTCATGACCAAAGTTGGAATTTAAATAAAAAAGGAAAGTGAAACTCATGCTCGTCACCCTCTCCCTCCGGTCCACATTAATACAAATGATCCCAATACGTATGATTGTATGAACTAAATATCTTAAAATCAATACAAATGTATTTATTATAAACGTTAGTCCTTAACATCTATCACTGTGTATAGTATATCACCATTCAAACATCTTTTAAAAGTTGAACAAACCCCACACAGCTCAGTAAAGACTGTGAAATGTTGACTTTATTTGATCATTTCAGTAAAAACTAACGTTCATATTTCTCTTTTTGATTATAATACTGACGAACGTTCAAAACAAAGCACTTTGGCAACTTACCACATACGTTTTAAAATGCTTAATAAGCACCGTAACGTTCATGATATAATTTCTCGGTCATAATCGGTTGTTTCCGTGAACGGCCGACTGTTGAGTGACGGCAAATGCTGCGGCTTCAATGCATTGTGGGGCAGCATTTTCTCCTCTCCTTTCGTCAAGGGAGGTCCAGTTCCTAAGCTAAAGGAGGTTATAAAGGAAGTTTGAAACCTCCTTTCCTTTCATTTGGAGAATTGGAACGGCACTTATCATGGCTGCCACTGACGTACTTCCGGGTCATTTCACTTGGTTAGGAAGTGAAATGGACTATTGGAACGCAACCTCGTTCTTTCCTATGAGAGCTGCTCATTGGCGCCTTATTATACATCCATGATTGGCGCATGAGGACAAAATGGCCCAACTTTTGAGAGAGTGAAACGTCACAGATTACCCATCATGCCTGGCTGTACGCTCATAGAGCATGCGCAGTTGAGTTGCCCCTTAAGCCCCGCCCCCCGAGCTCCCGCTCTCAGATGCGCGTTGCACATTTTACAACTTGAGGACCTAATGTTTTTAATAAAGGCTATACAAATGTTCATACTGGGTAGTTTATTTGGTTAAAAAAGAATTATCCAACGATTTACAGACCACTCTTTCCTTATATTAGTCAATGGGAAAAAGTATTTCCGGGCCCAGGGACATCACGGACTGATACGGAAGTTGCAGTACCGCCATTTGGACACAACGAATATTTTCCTCGGAGTCCGGCGCATATGAAGGTAGATATGGTGCAAAATGCGAGAGCGTGAAAACCTGATGTGAGCACTTGCAGAAACAAATCTGAGTTTGTGTGCATACATTTACACTTGTATAAAATATCCATGTAAGTGTGAACCAAATGTACACTTGTATAAAATATCCACGTAACTGTGAACCAAATTTACACTTGTAAAAAATATCCACGTAACTGTGAACCAAATGTGAAGTCACAGAAGAAAAAAAAGTTTTGTAGCTTATATAAAAAAATGAACTTAGTGATGAAATGTTCACTTGCAGAAAGATACATATTTTTTAAATATATTTTACATTACAACTGCAACTTTATTTATTACAACCTCTCAAATCAGTCATTACAACTTGACGAATCTGCTCTGTGGCAGTATAAATCGACAAATCTGCGGTCTTGACTTTTGCTACACTTCTTGCGATAGATGTGTCGCAAAAGTAATTTTCACCTGTAGATGTGGGGGGAGGGAGGGGGGTTGGAGCTATCAGAAGGACGAGGCTTGGGTGACTGGAGACTGCGGCGCTGACGGTTCGTGTCGCTACCAGTCCGCTGACATGGCGCATCAATCAACGGTACATTTTGCCCATTACTTGCCCAGTATTACTTTGAATATTATTATTGTGATTGAGGATTAAATCCGCTTTGAAGACCACCGTTTTATATCGTGCAGTTTAGCGGCAAAATAACGTCAGTCAGCCAGCTAACGCTAGCTTTGTTGAGTTTATGCTAGCTAAACAAGTAGTGGTTGTAGTCTACAGCAGTAATTAATATATTATAGCCTACTGCTTTGGCACTAACGGTTGATAACCGTTTATGAAAATAAAACCAATTGAACTGTACTGAAATAATGACACGTTTTATAATTGTCTTGGGCTCCTGCTGTGTTTTTAAAGCCTTTGTAAATTATACATGCTATTTTCTATTTAGCTAACGTCGAAGTAGTGTATGTGAAATCAGCCTCACAATAAGATGTGTGTATATTACAATTATTAATGTCATATTTCAAGATGATTACTTAGATATTACAATATGGTTGGTTGAGCTGGAGTTCATTATTGAGCTTACACGTTAACGTCACAGTCATCTGAAGAACGAACCCAAACCTTGTTGTTTTTATTAATTGTATTACCAAATTGATATCAAATAAACAGTAAGCATTGGTAACACAATTTCCAAAGTTACAGTAAAATAAAAAGGACCCTGACTCGGACAATACACAATCCAACATGTTCAACAGAAGATAATCAGTTATATTGTTTGTACACATGGTTCTTTACATATATATATATCTGTTTGTTTAAGGTGTCCAGGTGATGCAGACAGGCTGGACCAGAGAGTGAGAGACAGAACTGGACTCCTGTAGTGGACATTTTTATTATATCCTTATATGCTTAAACCAAATGCTTCTAAAAGCATTGTCTAACACTACTGTACCATTTTCCTATTATGTGCTGTTTTCTCTGCATACTCTAATGAGGGTTTTTATTCCCAAGCGCTTCAAGGCCACAGAGCTGATTTGGCAGACTAGGTTGAGATTACTCCTCTTCACACAAAGTCTCACAGCAGTGAACATCAGCTCAGGTACAAAGACTCTTTTTTCATACTGTACAAAGAATCAAGAAAGATATTGGTTTAAATGAATGAAGTATTGACTTGAATACACTGATATACATTCCATTAAACAATACTAAATACTAGATCACCTACACATCAGTGAAGTTGAGGTTTTTTTCCATGCAAAAGGTTACATTTAGATGATAACAAGCAATATGACAATATGACGTCAGCTTTCTAATTTAATGTATTGAAGGCAAAGATATTTAACACATAGTGAGAACTGCTACTATTTATCTCTCAATATTGTCTGTAAAAAACGTGGTAAAAGTTATTCTTTCAGTGAGACAACAGAGCAAGCTTCTACAGTTGCACTACGTTTTGATAACAGTTCAATATTATTTTGATAATAACATATATTTCAATGTTGATGAATTTCATACTGTTCATTCATAATCTGATTACAATTAAAAAATAATTATATCAACAGCCCCTAAACACAAACACACCTCTTTCATAAATAACACACTTGTTCTGCAATAATGTTTTATGTTTCCTGTAATTTTTGTTAGGGAAGGACATGCCTGAAAGACACAACATCTTCTCCTTCTATGAGGGTCAAGAAGAACATCCAAGAGGAACATTAAAAGCTGATGTTATGAGATTTTAAGACCAGTACAGGACATTCACTAAGAAACTACTTTTATTGTGAAAAAAAGATCTGCACACCGAATATTTTTGTAGTCTAGCAGGACCATCATTTGTTTGTGACGCTGCCTGCACCTCAGAGAAGGGGTGGTTATAGTCAGGCTTATAAAGTGTGGCGAAAAACATAGTCCGCTGATGGGATGCATCTATTTCCACATCTACACTCCATCAGCTGATTATTTCTATTTGCCTCACTTTATGAGCTTCATATCACCTGTGCCTTGTACCGCAGAGTTTGCAACGTCACAAATAAATGGGGCCAATCTTCAGTCAGATGTGAATGTGTAATCTAACATTTTCAGTAAGAATAATGGACAAAAGGAGTGCAAATACAAATACAATTTATTGAAATGTGAACCAAAAGTTAATCAAATGTTTTAAATAAAAAGCACATATGGACAGAAGGTGTAAACCTATTAAATGTATAAGTAAACACATTTAGTCAAATAAAGTGACCGACTAGGCCTGTGCGGTTGGTATCAGCTTTGCCCAGCATGGGCTCCTCCATCAGGCCTGGTCCTCCTCGCTGAGGAAAGACCCTCAGTCCTCTCCAAACCAACAGACAGGACGTCCATCACACGGAGGTTTCTCCATGAAGTCTCTGCAGCTCTCTGGACACCACGCTGTCTCAATCCGTCCACACTGAATATGAGAGGGAGAAAATGAAAATAATAAATGCTTTAGACAATAAGAAATATAAAGTTGACTGTTGAGTTGCTCAGTTTTTTTAGATTGTCAATACTATTA